AGGTTTACCATGTAAATCATGGGGAGTATATTTAAACAGTACGCTCTATCATTATACCGTGTAGCAGCTTCAGCAAATTTATGAAAAGCAGCAGCCACCTGCAGGTGTTCTAGAGGTGCCTCAACAAAACATTCATTGGCTTTACGGGATGACCATGCTTCTGCAACAATGCTAGACCTGAAAAGATAATACTTCTAATATGTCAAGCAAAATAAGTATAACAAAGGAAACAGAACCATGAAAAGTTGCTACTGAATGCACGTAATCACAGATTTACAGAAACACAACCCCCCCCCCCCCCCCCCCCTTCTTATTTCTTTTTGTCTCACAGAAAGAAAGCTTGTAAAACAGTTACAGCATACATCTTAAGAATTTTAACCACGTCGAGTCATAATCCATTGAATTTTTCCATGTAAGAACAGAATTACTTTAGCCTTTTCGCTGAAAAATTTATAAGAAAATAAATCCTTTATTACATGAAGCATGCCCAATTTTTTGTGTCTTTCAATCATAGATGCTTGAAAATATATAGCAGCAACCCCAAATATGTCATGGAAGTCCAGAAAAATAACAGAAACAATGAAGCTGGTAAAAGGAATTGAAGTTGGGACACCCTCTTCTGGTGTCATATCATATCTAAGTAAGAATTTATATATCTTTCAAAAAAAACATATGTGGATAAGAATTTATTATATTTGTGAAACATGAAAGCATTTTTAAATTCTTAGAATTTGACACATGGGAATAATCTGATTACCTGATTTATATCTTTGAACAGATGTCGAGGATCTAGTTACACATGCAACCCCTTGAGGTAATACCGTCACAGATTCTTTGTATCTAGGTTCTATATTAGCTAAAGTTAAATGTAAAATTTCAGAACTGTCTCCGAGTTTTTTTAGAAGCTTATTGGCAAATCACATATTTTACAAAAATATCCACCACAGAGGTTAAGGATCAAGGTCAAGAAAACAGAAATTGCAAAATGCCTTTGATTGATGTAGAATATGCAATCAATAAATTGAAAACAAACCTGTCAAGATTCCAAATTCCAGTGCCTGATGCACGGTAACAACAATCACCAGTAATTTGCTACTGAATACACTTCATCATCTTCCAATACAGTTCTGGAAAAAGTACAGAAAGAATTTAAAAATCCAATGGCTTGCACAACTAGTATCTCCATTTTATTCCAAATTGTAGAAGTACTACAAGTATTCAATACGTCCCAGACAGCACAAAGCCTCACGAATTCCATAATCAAATACCTCTTGATAGTGAGCTTTCCATGCATCATCTTGTGTTGCATAAAAAAACTCCACTTAGACATCAGATCCGTAAAACACTGCACAAATGCAATACAACATGCTGTGACCATAAATACAACCATTACTTTTAGCTTCCATGCACCAGTGCTGAGCCAGCACCCTACATTACAAAAAGCCAAAGTTTCCATAGAACCAGGAAAGGTGAATCTTTGCATCAAAAATCAGAGTGATTAAAATTACACCCTTCAAAGTTAATCAAGAGATCACTATACTTAAAATCCTGCCTACACTAACAATCTTAATGAGTCAGCAGCTTGACTGGTTATTTCTGAAACTGAATTAAAATGTGGAGGAATCAACAAACAACAAACTATAGCATAAACAGTGTAGTATTGCAAGTTTGATGAACTCAATTACAGTTTGTTGAGGTTTCCTCTTCTCTAGTATGAAAATCAAGTTCCTTTTTCTTTTGGTGTGTTTCATTGAGCAACTTCAAAGATAAGGTTCATATTAGCAACAGAAAAATATACAATTTAGAATGGCTTCATGAATTCATCAAGAAACTGAGTCAACTGTTCGAAACAGACATGCCAACTAAATCCAGGAATTTACATTTTGAAACAGTATGATTCGAACACTTAACCCCTAATTCTTATATGCACATTCATTCTTCACACGTAAGTTCAATTTCAGGAGCTTTTCCTCATATTTAGAGGGTCATTCATCCCCTCATATGCACACACATTTAATGCACTTTTGATGTCTCACACAAGTTTAGTTAAATGAAGGCTAAGAATAAAACAGACACGCAAAAATCTTAAACTAAACCATGAAACACCCGTTTGGGTAATATAGAAATTGTTAACAAACACTCAACTATTAGAGCTTAATAGCAGTAAAAGAATATGAAATTTAACCAAGGGCTTGCATTCTATCAAAAAATTAATCTAAGACAACAAAGATTCTTTCTCCATGAATTCAGCTATCGACTTACAAGAGAATGTCCTCATTACTTCTCTAATGGTTGTTGGACTATAAAGAGCAGAAAAGTTTGAATTCCTTTTCCATATGCAGCCAATATTATTAATTCCAGTAGCCAGTCATTTTTTATTACTTAGTTACAATCTAAAAAAAAAACTTTTTCCTTACTAATTACACATTGACCAAGATATGAAGGAAACATTTGTTATTCCATATGAAGTTTACATAAAACAAGCAAAACTATTGAATATACTAAGGACATGATCTTAAATTTGATACATTAGATGCGCAAAGTAATGCAATATGTGAGTAAATCTTTAGTATTAGTTTACTTCTATTTACCACAAAAGTAATAGGCACAAGTAGTAACATACAAAAAACAAGAAAAGATGATTAAAAAAAGAGATATAGGTAAAATATAGAATGAAACCCATTTTACTCAAAACACTGACTTGAATTTCCATCCTGAAAAAGATATCTAGCCATGTAAAGAGAAAGATAAAAAGCACCCAAATTTGCAACAGTGTAAGCACCAAGGCAAACGGCTCCACCAAAGCCATGTTTTGTATCACCTATTCATCAAAAAAAAAAAAAAATTAAAAAGACCCCCAATTTAGGTTTCAAGATACAGACAAAAATATATATATTATATTAGTTAAAGGTATACGGTAGCTACCGTCTGTCGTGACGAATAACAGCGTCAAGGACGTCAGTTTCAGAAGGAGAATTGGTTATGGTTTTGGCAGTGGCTTCTTGGGCAATTCCCAGTTTGATCATTGTTCCGATTTTAATAGCAGCTAACATTGAAACCATGACGAGTGGCAAAATCTTGCGGTGGCCACATCCTGGAAATGCAATGGCCACCAGAATTCCACCCAACACCAGCACCAGCAAATTGCATGCACCCAGAACTATTGACGTTAATCTCAAGCTCTTGACCCACATTCCCTGTAATTATTTTGCTCGATGGAATTGAACGAAAAGGCATAGATGCCTTTCTTTTCTTTTTAAGCTGTTTTTTTTTTTTTGTGCGTTAGTTTTGATGGAATGGCAATCCAGAGCAAGGCGTTAAATTTGGAATGTTGTTTTCATTTTGGATTTTTTTCTTTTTTAATAATTTTTCACGTACTGAGGATTACCTTGAAGGATGGGTGCGTGTCAAATTCTGGTTATGGGGTTTTTCAGCTGTTCTCGTTGTAACCACTTTTGTGTGAGGTCAGAAGCTGGCTAGGACCAATGGATGGACTGTGATAGACAGCCTGTGTTAGTGGCTTGACCCATGCTGAGCTTAGCCACGAGCTTTGTGCAATCATTTGTCTTGAAGGCTCGACAAACATGCCTGTTTCTGGCAGTATATGGGCCACGCCATGTTCTTCGATGTCGAGCTAGGCCTGGTGTTGCCTGGCTTGTTTCAATTAAGGAATTCTTTTTTTGAAAAGCACATTTCATTAATAAATAGTCGAGACGAGTACATCGATACGAGTTTGAGCATGTTGTCATACACGACTTAACTGCAGACTCGATGAGGCATGCCGGTCAACCCCAACATATTGTCCAAAATTAACCAAACCTGAAATTATGGAACATTAATGTTGCTTTTTTATGTATTTTTTAATTTTATTTATTTTTCAACGATATTATGGATTGGATTTTATTTTATCCACGTTCTCTTTTGAAGCATAATTAAATGTTGATATTCAAAATTAAAAATGGGTAAACTTAACGTAGAAGTCTCCTGTGTCTTGCAAACATAATTAATGTACCTTAATTTTAGTAGGTATGTTCGTGTTGGAAACCAAACTCAATGGCCAGGCAGCCCCTTTGCTCTAAAAATTACTCTTAATTTTAGTTTGGTGTTGCAAGTATGACTGCAAAATTGTGAATGACAATTTTTGACTGAGAGCAAACCTAATTGTAATTGCAAAAATGAAATTCTTGGTCATTGCATATACAGTCCAATATAGGAATAGCAAATCAAATGCAAAGTGAAATTGAAATGGTGGACAATGGAAAGAAGTAGGTTTCAGTGGTGAAGAGTAGGTGAAAACATGTAGTGGTGATTAAATGCATGCAGGCTGATAACCATGGCTTTAGCTTACAGATCTTATAGCTTACAGATCTGTGTCTTATGCCTTTGGCTCCACTTGAGCACTTTGGGTCACCGCACGAGTAGGAGCAAATGCCAAGCACATTGGAAACTGAAACAACCCCTTAATTAATGTCAGCCAACTCAATAGTGATTTTATCTTGAAAGGGTTACCCCAGCCCAGGGGGCAGGGGCAGGGGCAGAGGCAGAGTTAGGATTTTTTGTGGTTTAGTATTCTGAATTCCCATCATAAACTATCTGTACAATTTTAGATCTTAATTGAGAAGTAGCCACATGGATCTTGGAAGGTGGAAATATAACCAAAGCTGTACCAGAAATGGGGGCAAGAAATGGGAAACAGTGACATATGTCATTGAAAGCCATGTACTTTATTTGAGTAGCTAAAACTCATTACTTCTTGCAGAAGGCCTGAACATTTGGGCAGACCTTCATTCTAAAAATTTAATGCTCCTTACCAAGAGAGACCCAATACCAACAAACTGAGAATATATAACAAGGTCAATTACATGAAAATCACATTCCCCCTAGATTATATTTACTGTTTCTGAGTACAGCCTTGAAACTAAAGCATCATGACATTACCAGTCGTATCAAAGGTCTGATTTTATGCTAAAATGCCTCCCCTCAAATGATTCTATCATATATTAGTTCAAGAGGCTTAAGGTATCCAGGGACTTGATGGCGGAAACTTTTGGTGGTTGGGCTTGTAAGGCAGGAAGAGAGTGGACATACTTGCAGTTGGGGCAGGCAGGGGATGATTTGGAGAGAATGACCAGGAGATGGCAATTCAAGCAAGCCAAAGCCACCATGTTAGTGCCTGTTGAGTGTTGCTTGTTAGAGTCTTCGAGTGAGACAGAAGCGCTGCATTGCTCGGAGCAATTGGATTTCGGGGAGATGTTGAGTTCAAGGTCTAGCTTCTGATCCTTCGGCCAGTTCCAGGTCCTTTTCAAGGTTTTTCTGTTCAAGTAGTACACCTTACCTGACTGCAACATCAAAAACACCCAGCCAGATTTTGAAAACCATTAGTTGAGTTAGTAACAAACATCCTTCGCCTAAAGAACTAGATTTCTGCACCAAGATTTGCAAGGATCATCATATTGATACAGACAGACGTACATGTGCATGCGCGTGTGTGCTTGTGACAAATTACAACATTTACAGCAAAAAATCGAATCGTATATTCTTAAACAGGACAGCATTAAAAGTCTAAAACAAACAGCATCTCAGCATTCATCATGAAAAAACAGTTTGAACAGGAATATTGGAAGTTAATGAAACTTTTCATTTCAAAAAGAGAGAAAGATACTTCAAGATCAAGGCATTGCTCCCAGTCTAGTGGTAGAGGGTCTTTAACTTGAAGATCAACACTTGTTTGAAATTGTGATCCAGCACTGAGCAGGTGATCTGGGAAAAGCTTCCTCTTCTTTGAAGGCATATTGAAATCAGCCTGGTCAGATGATGAACTATGGCAGCTTTTGTCAGCAAGAAATTGATTTGGAGCCAAAGAGAGCTCCGTAAGTTCCACAATATCCATGAAAACCAGCAACCACTCGTTCCAATGCTCTTCTTCTTTTGTTGCAGTACTCTTGCTTCCCCCACCTAAATGGACATATTCAAACTACTATAGAGGGGGCAAAACTAAAAGGAAAACAAGCTAGGAAGGAGAAGGAGAAAAGAAGAGAAAGCCCAGTGAAATAAACTATGGGATCAAACGGACAGTTGTAGTGAAGGACATCCAAAATCTCCTCTTTGGGTTGCAGAAGTCATGCAAGGAGAGTGTGTCTACTTAAGAGGGGTTCTTAAATTGGGTTCATCAAACCCCATTAAAAGGAGGACAGGCCAAGCATTAAAAGTGGCAAGTAGATATCACTTCAATGCTCCGAAATCTTGCTCTCTTGCTTACATGACAGCCTCAAAATCCAACCTCATACACCCCTATTTAAATTTGTTGAAAATTCTTCATAGTTAACCCTGCCCCCAACTTAAAACCCAGTAATTAATAAGCCCCCAAAAACTCTTCTGCTTTTAAACTTTATTTTTCATGACTTCAGGGGATTAATTATCTGTGAGGGTTTGAAATTAAATGTCAAGGGTTATCATAAAAGAAATTCTCCATGAAGCAAGACAAGCTAGCTTCATGGCTCCAACAGAGAAATCAACTGTTTCTCTCATAAGAGCTGAGGTGACCTCACCTTTCTATATGATACCAGATCACCTCATGAAACAGTGATTAATAATCTTAGCATTCATTCCTTTGTTTTTCTTTTTTGAAGACCATTTCGGAATTGGAAGGGTAACTATAGCCTAAACCTAAACCATTAATACAAGACTGGCAATCCACCTATTTTCCCAGCAACTTTTCAGACTTCAAACCAACCATTTCATCTCTGCTATTAGTTGGTGGTGTCTCTTTTGTTCATTTTTGCTTTCAAAGGACGAAGCTGAAATATAATCAAGGATCAAAAAGACCATATAAATCATCCTCTAGGTCAAATTATAATGATGAAAAACCTATAGAACATATCCCTTTCTATGGTCCTAAGTTCATGGTTAAGCGTCGATCATTCCTTCAGTTTTCAACCTTTTGCATGCATGCATGCTTGGAGTATGATATTTACACAAGAAGGGTTTCACTTGCAAATGTCTTAAAAGTACTGGCTTAGGTTTCCCACTGAAGAAAAAACTTATCATTTAATGTATTAAAAATTCATCACATTAATTGCTGCACTTAACATTTTGCAGTACAGTAATAAATTTTTTTTTACGATATCAACAAAATCTCATGATAAAACGATAATTATGAAATTTTAAAATTTTTTATTCAAATCTCATCACCTATCAATGTTTTATCAATGGAATACATTCATCGGTAAAATTTCATCGATAAATATCAACAAAATTTCAATTGAATATCAATTAATCCATTCATAATATATACATATTTTAAAAAAAAGAAATATCATTATATATAAGTACTTATTATAACTTTTAAGCCGCAAAAGATATTGGAGATGATGATTGGCAGCTAGCTGAATTTTGCCCTATGGTGCGATTGCTGGTGGATGCATTCATTACATACATCCTAACCCTAAAATTTTTCAGTAAATGAAGACAGCAGAAGACTGATTCGATCCGTATATGTGCACACAAGATGGTATTATGTACGTACCATTTTGGCCTTCAATGACTTTGCCATGCATTTTTCGTCTGACAATTTGTAGCTGCCCATTTAATGGATCAAGTGTGGGATATCAGCCACATCTGTTTCACTTCCAAAACTTACTACTCCATCATCAATTTCATCCTCCATCTTTACTAATGCCACAACCATTCAGGGTTTTTTTTTTTTTTTAACTTTCTGTTTTTCTCAAGGGGTTGCACAAAAGTAGTAAAACTTAAACAATTAAAAATTATTTAAGAGAAATTTGTGAAAAATGATCATCTCCGTAACTTGATTTCAAAAATAATTATTAAAATAAAATTATTTATTTTTAATCATATTTAGTCATGACTTGATAAAAATATCTTTGAAATCAGTTTAAATAAATTAAAACTTCCATCACAATTTCTCTCAATTTCTATCTCTACTTCCGATTTCTCTCTCTCAACATCTAGCTCTTTCTAATTTTATTGATATCTTTCTTCAACATCCTATGCTTTCGATTTTTAATATGTTTGGAGTGGGTGGCTATTTGAAAATTTTGACTTTTAGGTGTTTTGAATGAAATTAAAATAATAAAAATAATCACGGATGTTTGAAATAGTTTTTAATTGAATCGAAGTCTAGAATTTAAAATTTATAAATATAGGGTTTCAAAAGGAATTTTTGTTAGTTGAAATAGGTATTTTAGGTAAGGAAAATTGTGTTTTGATTTATAAAAATATGTTAAAAACATGTTAATCGATACCAAATCAGAAAAAAAAAAACCAAAAAGAAATTAAAAGAGTTGAAAAGATTTGAAGTTTTAGTTCATAAGTAACAACAACATTTCAAGTATTAAAGTGTAACAAATTTTTTAAAATATGACATGTAACAATAATATTTTTTCAATATAGCGTGTAATAACAACATATTTTTCAACATGACGTATAATATATTTTTGCATATGTTGTGTAACAATAATATTTTTTTTTCAACACGGCATATAATAATTTTTTTTTTAACCATGATGTGTAATAACTTTTTTTTTAACCATGGCATGTAATATGTTTTTATACACGATATATAACAATAATATTTTTTTTCAACATGACGTGTAATAACTTTTTTGATAACACCATATGCATGACATGTAACATCATGCGCACTTGATATAAAGAGGTTTAATATATGACATGTAACGTGTTTTTGTATATGACGCGTAACATCATGTACACAACATGTAACATCATGTGCATTTGATATAAAGAGGTTACATTAAAAGTAATTTTGTCCAACTTAATTAAAAATAATTAAAATGATTAAAAAAGCTATTTTTGAAAACATTTTATCTTTGAGTGCTATTTTTTAAAATGTCCCAAAATTTAACCTGACAGTCATAAACTCATAATAATAAATTTGGGTTTCAATTATATTTCTTTAAAGTAATCTAATTTTTTATGTAGTGAACTCGTAACTATTTATTTTTTTTCCACATTAAGTAGTAATATCAAAACTGTAGTGTTAGCTAGTATATGCAATCTATGTACTTACATTTTATTCATAATATTGTTAAAAATTTATAATGCGGTGAAATCTACAAAATACTCCTAAAAAGTATATAAAAAGTGCTATCGAAAATATTTTTAATTTGAAAAATGTGTAGTCTTGAATAAATTTTATTATAATATTTTTATTTTCAAATAAAGTTGATTCTAGGATTGATAATTTGGTATTCTCTCACTGATCATCTTAAACTTATTCACGTGTTCAAGCAAAGAAAGTGCTTAACTCATAAAAACTAAACTTTAATTTAGATTAAAGATATTGTTTTTCCAAACAAAAACTAAAGTTTACTTACTCTCTTGTAACAAAAAAGAAAACAAAATTAAAGGTTAAATCCATGTGAAATCTTTTACGTATGAAAATGAGGAAACAAAACAATGGCAAAATGTATGAAATAATGCCAATTTTGAAGGCAAAGATTTGATATTTCTGATTGGAATATTTAAATTCTTATTTTCTTTAAATGTATTGAAATTCGTCAAATAAATTGTCAACTACTGCATTTAATACAAAACACATAGTTGTTGTATTAAATGCAACAGTTTACGTATTGAATTAGTTGACAATTAATTCGATTAATTTTAAATACATAATTTTTTTAGGACCATTTTGTATCATTTTCCTTGTATCGTTATTGGGTAAAATGACAAAATTTTTGCTTATTCAAATATGGCATAATATTTAAATAAAAAAATCTTGAATTATTTAAAAAAATTTTATTTAATTCTTCTTTTACATTCAATCAAACATGTTTATATTTTTTTTAATAAAAAAGACCCATATGACCAACAATTAATAACTGTTATTAATCAAAATAATATTTATCATTTAATAGTAGTAATTTGCTTACATATTATAATATATAAACATGACTTTTGTTCTTGGATAGAAGGGAAACATCTTCTTCCTTCATTTTTTAATGAACTTCCTCTTTAACTTTCAAAAAAAAAAAAATAGATGTTGACGTAACATACAGATGTAGAATAATGACATAATCACGTGACATTTTGATTTCTATGATAACGTCATGTTATCATCAAATGATATATGAATGACAAATAGTATTTTGAGTTACTCAGCAGTTAATAATAAATATTTATTTGATTAAAAATAATAATAATGAAAAAGTTATTTCGAATCGAACTTAAAAATAAATTTTAAAAAAACTATTTTCAGTATAAATAAATGCATGGTATCGTAGCATGATCGTGAATAGAAAGAAAACAAAGCATTTGGGAATTAATGTGTGGAGTCTTGAGATATTAAACAGGTCCAACAAACAATAATAAATTTGCAGCGCCTCTCTCTTGGGTTGTTGGAGCATGAACCCTATTTAATGTTTGTGCTTACGGATCTATACCGACACCCTTCTTCCTTGGCTCCAAGTATTGAATACCCAAAGCAAAAGGAGTTATGACCTCGTATTCTGGGGCCCTTGCCCTGTGCTTTCCAATCCCACATATAACATTCTCCCTATATTTTGCAATCCAACCCCTTCACCCAACTCTTTTGCCATTACTTTCATCTCCTATTTCAACTCATTTTTGCCTTTTATAGGCATCTAATTTTTTTTGGGAGCATGCCAATCATCTATCATCTATTTAATTCACTGTTTTCCCTTTTTTTTTTTGGTTTTTTCTGGTTGTTGTGGATTTATAATTTACGTTTACAAAAATTAAAAATAAAAATTATAACAATTTTAATGATGTCTGAACATTTCGATTCATTGATAGAATACATCATGTTTTTAATAAATTTTTACATTGATTTTGAAATTCTAAACGTTGCATCCATATAAATTAAGAAATGTCTAAAAAGTATTAAAAACCGATATGAGTAATCTCCATATAAACAGAGTTAGCCATACCGATTAGATAACCTAGACATCTGAAGACAAACAGAAACAACACTAACTGTCACTCCTAGCTCCTCAATTTCCATTCTCTTTCTTTCTAACCTTTCAAAAATTCTGTGATGAGCAACATCATGGCTTTTCACCATCTCCTTCCTTGCCTGACCCTCCTATCCTTGGCTGCTCTACTTTCTATAGCTTTTGCCTCCAAGGTCTCCTTGAAATCATCCGTCACGTACCCTCTTACTTGCTCCAGGAGCATCAAGACATGTAATGCCTCGTTATACCACATCAATTATGGCCTTGACAAAGAGCAAATCTCCACCTTTTACAATATAAACTCATCCCATATCAA